AATAAATGTTTGGGTCATAGCAATGGTGAAACAGTTGATTGTTTCTTGGACTTCCACGACAAAGGTGAATTTCCCAAGGTAACAATGTATCCAATAGTAGAACGGCATGTAGATGGACAATTAACCCAATTTGAATCATAGTAGGCCTGAAGCACAAGAACAGATGATGAAGGGAAAATTACTCCAGGTCAGGAGAAGACTTGAGATACCGGAGAATGTTCATAGAAGTATCTAAGTGACGCTGCCGTGGATCACTTAGGAATTGAATAAGGATGTGAACTGAGTACATGATGTCCGATATGTGATAGTCAAATATATGAGGTGTCCAACTAATCTCTTATACTGGTCAGGCTGAGTGATTGGTGGTTTATTATCAGGTCCAAAGTATTGTTCCATAGGAAAAGAATTTGGGCGACAACCAAGCATGCCGACCTCCTTAAGAATGTTGAGAGTATAATTTCGTTGGCTTAGAAAAATGCCTAAAGTAGACTGAGAAATCTCAATGCCCAAAAAATATCGAAGAGGTCCCAAATCTTTGATGGAAAAACAATTGCTAAGACAACATCTAATAGAATCAATGTCACTAGAATCATTTCCGGCAATGATCAAGTCATCTACATAGGCGAAAACAATAAGAATACTAGAAGACCTTATAAGAGTGAAATGAGCATCATTTGTAGAAGATTGAGAGAATCCAAATTGCTTAAAGTCATGGGCCAAAGTTCCAAACCAATTACATAAAGCTTATTTGAGCCCATATATAGATTTGTTGAGTTTACAAACATGCTTGTCACCATCAGAAAGGAGGCCTAGAGAAGGCCACACATAGACTTCTTCATGAAGAGCACCATGGAGAAAAAACATTGTTTACATCCATCTGATGTAAATATCAATGTTGTGTTGCAACTAAAACCAAGAGGCATTGAATAATAACAAGTTTGGCTACCGGTGCATATGTCTCAGTGTAGTCCACGCCCTTAGTTTGTGTGTAACCCTTAGCTACAAGATGCGGTTATGACACTCTATACTAGCATTTGGATTGGTCTTAATCTTATAGACCCACTTACATCCAATTGGAGTTTTACCGGGGAAGATCTGTCGAAGTCCATGTCTTAGTGGACTCAAGGGAAGCTAATTTTGTTGCCTTGTCCTCACGCCAACAGGAGGGTTGTTGGGTTTGTTGGTAGGTAGTGGGTTTAGAAGGAGCTATATGGTCAATTTGACTTAATGCTAGGTTGGGGTGAGAGAGGTAGTTACAGATAGGATGTTGTGTTTAATAAATCAAATTTGGCCCACTATTTTAACCGATCTTTATGGTAGAACACACACAAGGCCTTTTAGTTTTGGTGGTGATCAATGCACCATAGCAGGCCTGGGCTTAAGGACAGTTGTATCAGTATTAGGGGTGCAACTTGGGCCGTTGAGCAGGCAAAGCCCAAAAATTTACATGGGTTGGGGCTTGGATTTTTGATCCTTGGGCTGAGCTCGGGCCCAAGAAGTCATGTCTTTTAATTTTTTGGGTTGGGCCTGGGCCTAGCCCTTAGGTAGCTTGAACTCGGCTTGAACCCAACCAAACTTTATACGTTCATACATACATATGTATATATATGTAATTTTGCATATATATTTACCTATATACATACATATTTACATATATATATATATATATATATATATATATATATATATATATATATATATATATATATGTATGTATACATATTTGCACAAATGCATACTTACATGTATAATTTTAGAGCAGATTCATTAATCAACCCGAGTGCATAAAAAATTACAATGTAAGTTGGGCTCGGGTTAAGAAGATTGGGCTTGACCTCGGGCTCGGTCCGTGCTTTGGCCTTAAGCCCAAATTTTAGGGTTGAGTCTAGGTTGACCATAAACCCAGCCCAACCCACCTGACTTGCACCCCTAATCAGTATTATGGGCAACCTCTTGCAATAGAGATGGGCCTGTAACATGAGTCTATTTATTCTGATTGTATCATGGACAAAAATTGTTGAACCATTATCTGAAATCTGAGTATTAGTCTAAGCCTGAAGTGGGCCCATAGTGGAACTATAGAAGATGACCGATCATCTGTTGGTGTTGTGTCATGTAATGTGGCTGATTCAAAGGGGATGAATGGTCATCTCTAAGTAGAAGAGGCACCATAACTGTAGAAGTATTCTCAAAACCGATGAGAGGAAGTTGATCCTAAAAAAGCACATCATCACGAGATACAAATATCTGAGCCATGTTCAAATTGTAAACACAGTAATCCTTCTGGCCTTGTAGATAACCAACAAAAATGCAACATTCAGAACGGGAGTTGAATTTTACCCCTGAACATTAGTCACAAGTAGTACTGACATTTGAAACTCATGATGATCTACTCTAAAGGTGGAGGACTACCTTTTATGGTATTCTTCAAGGGAGGTTTATCTGATTACTATCAATGGTAAAGTGGAAAACCATGAAGAAAAGTATTTTTGGGGTATGCAACAACATTTAATATCTCACTACCTTTCTCATGAGATCAACTTCACCGAAAAACCTGGAGAGATCTGATTCCTATCAAATTTAAGAGAAAATGTTATTTTTAATTAGAAGAAAATTTTGGGTTTACTTGGAAATTTGTCACACTTAAAACCTACTGCCTACTCAAAGATAAATGGCCATGTTTACTTGATTAAGAGAATGTATCTGATTTCTCTGATCTTTAATGGATAGATAGATGCATACTTTGGGATACTGGGAAAATTTAGTGAAAGTTAAGTTCACCTCCCGCTCAGAAGGTGAGAGATTATCTTCTTGAAATATCTTAGTGGACTTTGGACACTTTTATTTCTCTCAAAATTCTCAACTTTCTATGTAGTTATGGAAAAAAAGGGCAAGATGGTTTAAAACATGGGGATTTTTAGGGTTATAAATTCATTCTTTTATATTTTGAAAATATTGGTTGTGCATTATTCTCCAGATGATTTCCTGACTCTCTATCTCAAGCTTGCCTAGGCACTATTGTGTGCTTGAAAATCTTGTTGGTTCCTAAGGCCATGTTTGGTTCAATTCTCATTTTTTCTCATTCTTATCTAAGATAAAATTTTAAAATGGACAAGAATGGGTAAAAATAGGCAGAATGAGAAAATAATACTATGAATCAAACACTTTTTTTCCTAATAAATGAATTCTTTTCAGATTGACAAGTGTCTTATGTTTATCATTTTCATTCTTCAAAAAAAGAAAAAAAAGTTGTGCCAGTATTCTTAAACTGCCAGGTTAGGTCTCCAACAGTCAATGTTTACCAGTTGGCATAGATGTTTTGTAAAAGTGCTTCATAAAAGTAGTTTCATAAATGTGCTTTTATAAAATGTAATTTCATAAAAGTGTTTTTATAAAAGTAATTTCGTAAAAATGCTTTTATAAAAACACTTAGTAAAAATGCTTTCGTAAAAATACTTCTATAACAATGCTTTTATAAAAATACTTTCATAAAAACGTTTTTATAAAAATAATTTCATAAAAATACTTTTATAAAAACACTTTAATAAAAGTGCTTTCATAAAAATACTTATCTACCAATGAAAGAGTATGGACCAGTAAGCACACATTGACTTGCATTGATGTGAACCCATTTGCAAGAGATAAGGTCAGTCAGATACAGCCAGCCATTTTCATTTAAGTGGGACCACCTTCTCTACCAACCCATAATGTTGACTGGTCTCTTCCTATCTATTCTTTTGCTTCCCATGTTACCATCAAACAATTTCTTGCCCAAATCAGCTTGCTTCTAAACCATATGTCTATATATATATATATCTATACTACATTAATTACCATCTCTTTAATCATCACTTAAACCACCCATTACATCCAGCTTGAAGTCTTGAATCCCCATTCGATCCCCAATTAACTGAATGTGCCCACCTCCGACTACTTGATCAATTTGAATCAATAGAGTTGGCCAGTTGGGTATTAAGAATCAATTAATCACATACATAGCCAAAGTCATGTAATTAACAGAACCAAACAAGTGATGAATGGGACCACCTTCTCTACCAACCCATAATGTTGACTGGTCTCTTCCTATCTATTCTTTTGCTTCCCATGTTACCATCAAACAATTTCTTGCCCAAATCAGCTTGCTTCTAAACCACATGTCTATATATATATATATATATCTATACTACATTAATTACTATCTCTTTAATCATCACTTAAACCACCCATTACATCCAGCTTGAAGTCTTGAATCCCCATTCGATCCCCAATTAACTGAATGTGCCCACCTCCGACTACTTGATCAATTTGAATCAATAGAGTTGGCCAGTTGGGTATTAAGAATCAATTAATCACATACATAGCCAAAGTCATGTAATTAACAGAACCAAACAAGTGATGAATCAGCTCAGCCATCCATCTTTTTCAAATTACAATAAACCCGAAAACGCGATAACGTTGCTTCTTTATTTGTCGAGTACTGACTGTACGTAGGACCCAAGTTTTAATGTAGATATTTTGGGAGACATTTATTTATAATCAACAATGGGGGGTTTAGGCGCAAGGTGCCAACCGGCTGGTTGGTGCAGCTTGTAGCCGAGAGATAAAAGATGGGGAATTAGGCTTCACCAACCGAGAACGGATAAATCATAAATGTTCTGTCGGAGACAGATTCGTCTCCTTCCTTAGCCATTGATTGCACAACTTATCTTTATTGCTGACTGCAGAGCTTATTTAGCAAGAATTAATAGAGATTAGAGCTTACTTAGCATCTCATTGTTTAGCCAAATCAGAATGGATTATTAGTTCAACTTGATGGCTGGCTAGCTGTATTACAATTTACATGTTTACATGCCGTGTCCTGTCTCCTGTGGGGTCTATCATAATTCATAACGCCCCACGCCCACGCCCACGCCCACGCCCACGCCAGCCTGTAGAGTTCACATTAAAGCGCTCGCAACTTGTTGGTTCCTTCATTTTCTTTGGGTATTTCTATTCCTTCTTGACGCCTTGAGAAGCCAGACAGGCTTATCAGTCAATTACAGCTTTTCTTAATGCCCATTTTCTTTCCTTCTCTTTCAAATTTGTTGTGCCTACCGGATCCGGTCCCCTCATAACTCATAAGCGCAGCCGACGGCGGCCCGTCACAAGAGGCTTGTATAGTTTGAGTCTTTATTGGCCTATATATGTATATTCCTTGGTCCTCCTCTAACAACAGTAGTGCAAATTGAGCAACAAAGAAAAGCAAGGATAAACGAGCGAGAATGCTGTTTTCATCAGCGTCAGTTTCAGTCCCACCTCTCTCCATCCTCTTCCTCCTCATCTTTCCCTTCTTATTACTTCAAGTTCAAGCCACTGTTCCCCCATCAAAGACCTTCAAGTATGTCAACCAAGGCGAATTTGGTGAGTACGTAGTAGAATATGACGCAAGCTATCGTGTATTAGATGTCTTCACGTTTCCTTTTCAACTTTGCTTCTACAACACCACCCCTGATGCTTTCACCCTTGCTCTCCGAATGGGTACTCGTCATTCTGAGTCCATCATGCGTTGGGTCTGGGAAGCCAATCGTGGCAACCCTGTACGCGAAAACGCTACTCTTACATTTGGCCGCGACGGCAATCTCGTCCTGGCCGATGCCGATGGCCGGGTGGCCTGGCAGACTGCCACCGCTAACAAAGGTATTGTTGGCTTCAAGCTACTCCCAAGTGGCAACATAGTCCTACACGATAAGCAAGGTAGGTTTGTATGGCAAAGCTTCGACCACCCAACTGATACACTTCTGGTAGGCCAGGAGCTACGACCTGGTGGACCCACCAAGATTGTTAGCCGTGTGTCTAGTGTTGATGGATCCCAAGGACCATACAGCTTTGTGCTGGAGCAGAACAGAGTTGCTCTGTATCTCAAGAGTAACAACTCCCCAAAGCCGTTGCTTTACTACTACTCTGAGTTGGGGAGCGGGCAACCGGGGCAAGAGCCCCTGGCCTATGTAAAGTTCAACAGTGAACCTACAACAGAGGAAGCTTATGCTTTTCATTTGAAATTTGATTATGCCATGATCAACTCCTCCTCAGTGTCGAGTCGTATCTGGGCCAGACCAAAATACAATGCCACCTACTCAATGCTTCGAGTGGAATCGGATGGTAATCTTAAGATCTACACCTACAGTGACAAGGTCGACTGGGGTGCTTGGGAAGTAACATTCACCCTCTTTGACAGAGATGGGAGCATGAGCGAGTGTAAGCTGCCTACCAGATGTGGATCACTCGGAGTCTGTGACGATGATCAATGTGTAGCTTGTCCTACGCCTCTTGGCTTGACATGGTGGAGCAAAAGTTGTGCACCCCCCGCTCTTCCTCCCTGCAAATCCAGAGCCAATGTAAATAATTATTACAAAATTGTGGGTGTTGAGCATTTCCTGAACGAGTACACCGAGGGAGATGGTCCAATGAAGCTGGCTGAGTGTAGGGACAAGTGTAACAAGGACTGTGGGTGCTTAGGTTTCTTCTACAGGGAAGAATCCTCCAAATGCTTGCTGGCTCCTGAACTTGGCACTCTCACTAAAGTGTCCAATACATCTCATGTAGCTTTCATTAAGTTCTCTAAGTAGATATCTTAGTGACATGATTAATTAGTTCCTCTCATGCAGATCGATGTAGTCTTGCTTTAAATTTGAACTGAGAAGTTTGTATGTCCGTAGTAAATAGAGTGCAGTTCTGGTCAATTCAGGCTGCTGGTGGAAGAGCTGCCTATTAAATAAGTGTATTTGCGAAGCTATTAATAAAGTAGAAGCAGATATTTTGAAACTTTCATAAGCTCTGCTAGCTCTCTTGTTGCTCAACCTGTTCACAGATAAGATTATTGATAATTTTCTCCCTGTAAAAGTTCTATTTCAGCAAACTTCTGATGATGCTATCAGCCTATCATGTGAAAAGTGAAAACTATTTAGAAATGGGAAATTCAAAAAAGAAGTCCAATTACCTTGTCAATATATATATGCTCAGACCATATTAGCCTCAGCATCTTATAACTTCCCCACCGCAATCTATTGACCATTTGTTATCCATATGGGTTTCTCACTTTAGGCTCAGTTTGGAAGGAGTATAAATACAAATAAGTAGAGTGCAAAATCTTGTATTTTGTATTATTTTATATATATTTACACTGTACATATTTGCATTTGTACTCCTTCCAAATTGAGCATTAATTTCTCTTTCTAGAAGCCATACATGGCAAGTTATCAAATTTGGGAAGATACAAATGTTTGAAAATAACCCGATGGGGAGAAATGCTTGAAACCAAATCTGTCCAATCAAAATTCAAACGTAAATTTGGTACCATGAAGTCAAAATGCCATACATGACAGACTGACTCTAAACGGGAGCACCAAAAATGTCATCCCAAACGCCCCCAAAACAAACCAAAAGAACGTTAAATTCTCCAGGGCAGTAACGTGATCATATTTGGAGCTTCATCGTTTATGTATCCTATTGGTGGTTGGGTAAATGGGTACCTCATCACTCATTAGATCCGGACATAGTAAACCCAGTATCAACCCAATTATTAATTTGTTATTGGGCCTCAAAATAGAGCTGGGACCGTCCAAGAATTACACAATAGGGTTGGATTCGGTCTGTCAGGTGAACTCAGCCCACTGACAGCCCTTTGGAGCAAGATCGTCCCCCACCCGGGCCAAGATCCGAAATCCCATCTCATCCCATGACTTTGCTTCAAATTCCTCATGACCTAAATCCCAAAGCTCCTTCCTCACCTACATCTATTTTTCGATTAAAGAGAGACATTGCTTTCATACATCTCGGGCCAAGGCCCACGGGCTGAGGCTCTCACCCTTTCAAAAGCGTCTTCTATCTTCTTTTCATACTTGAGCTCATTACTGCTGTGTTTTTGATAAGAAGGCAAGAACCATGAATTGTCAAAAAACCTTTGGCGAGGTATCTCTTCCACATACCAACTTGGTGGTCTCGGGTCGGACTTTTATTAAAATTTTAAATTGGCCCAGCCCGAATGCCCAAGCCCAAACCAGTATAAAATGCTAACTTGGGCGATACCCAAATGGGAGGGCGTTAAACTCCCTCTAGTAGATGGGTGCTATTTTGTATTTTCAAATAGAAAAAATTGATACCCAATTCTAGCCCTAATATCTGGGTTTTGGGAGTGGTGAATTAAATACAGATATAAACCTCCTGCATTATATATATATTGATAAGTGGTAAAAAAGGAAGGAAAGAAGCAAAACCCGAAATAAAGACAAAAAAACCTCAAGCAACAGCTCTCATAAAAAATAACCCATCCCAGCAAACCAATCAGTAGCGCAGTTCCCTTCTCTGTAGGTGAAGTTAATGGCAATATATATGGATATGGACTTGAAATCTTTAAGCATTTCCATGGAGGCTCAACTTTATCTTGGAGGGCTTCCATGACTACTAATTTGTGGGCTTGAGGGACTTGGAGAGCAAGTTTGTGGGCTTGTAGAGCTGCCCACATTTGTGCCACTGTACTCAATTTGGCCCATCTTTGCCATCAAGATTTTGCCTGTAAAATCTCTCATGATGCAGCCATAGGCATGGCACACCTCCTTCATTGAGGCATCAAAATTTATCTTAATTCCATCTAAGGGAGGAGCGGAGTCCATCTCTTATCCACCACATAATAGATCCTGAGCTCATTCATTGTACTTGTGGCTTTCTCTTCAGCTGCAACAGTAAAGTATTCTTCCATGCTCTCCCTCACCTTTTTCACTATTTCTTGGGAAGAATGGTTTTTATTCTTGAACACTTTTTCTTTCCTATTTTTTTCCAAATGTACGTACCAGAACGTATATATTATTTTTTTCCCAAAACAATTGGGCTTGATGATCCATCTTCTCCTCCGTCATATCCTTAATTCCACCAACTTTTTAGGTTCCATCATGGATCCAACAACTTTCGAACTACTAAGCCCTCACTTAGGGCCCAAACTTGTTGGGCACTTGGGCTATCTGGCATTTTACTATAATATGATACATGGCTTTTAAAAATGACCCGGACACCGAATCATTCAGGGGTCCGGTTACCGGGTTGAATGGTCAGACCTTTCGAATTGAGCAGTCGGCCCGTTCTGACAAAAAAATAAAAATAAATAAAAAAAAACAGTCAAAACTGTTGAAACGGTTAATCGCCTGTGTCAGTGGTTTACTGACCAAAATTAACAGTTTTGGACAAATTTCCGGTTTTGAGGAAAACCGAAACCGGTCACCTGACCGATTCCCAGTTTTTCCGGTTTGACCATCCGATCGATCCTCAGTTTCAGGTTGGCCATAGAAGGAACAGCAGGGGAGATTTGGATCCTTCTTTTCATTAGATTTAATTTCTTGGGGATTTTATGTAGTATAACCAGCCATACAAAGTCCTTGTTTTTTCTTTCTGACATTTAAAACTTCTAGTTCTAATTAAATCTTGATTCGTTCGGTACTTGTAAGAAGTCATTAGTGCTAGGGTGCCCTTTGTCGACTGTGTCTTATCCTCCTTTTCGATCATGGGGATATAGATGGCTCTTATTTTATTTACACATTTTGAAGGATTAGTGCACTAAATTTATTTTGATCCCACGTTTTTTTTTGTCCCAATTACTTTAAAGAATGTTAATTATGATTATGGAGCTAAGATCATCATCGAGCACATCTCCACCGTGCATTGGGAACATCTCTTGATGATAGTATCAGTCCCGATGATGTTATTATCGGGAGATGTTCCCAATACAAGATGAGACACTGTGGGGCGTTTCCTTGTGGGGTGCAGATGTGAATTCATGGGGTAGGTTATTCATGATCATGAATTTTATTGCCAGCTGTCAATATGACACAACCTTCTCTTTTATATGGACTCAGGACTAGTAATTTAAGACAAATACACACCCACAAAGTTACCATAAAACTAAGGCAAAATTCCTTATTTGTGGGTCTAGTGCTACTTTGGTCCCCCAAAGTTTAAAATGCGACAATTCAGTATTCAAACTTTTAAAATGTAACAATCTGGTACCTGCTGTTAATTAACTGTTAACTAGCCGTTAAGTGGCATTTGAAAAAGAAACAAATGCCCTTCAAGTGTTAATTAATTTTCTTTATCAACCATCTAAATGTTGACAAAAAACTAACAGTCCCAAATCTTTGCCTTTTCCATTCAAGAAATTTGGGGTCGCGTTTGAGTGGACATTCTAGTGACCCTAACTTTCTTGAATAGAAGAGGCAAGGATTTGAGACTGTTAATTTTTTGTCAATGTTTGGATGGTTGATAAAGAAAATTAAATGACACTCGAAGGGCATTTGTGTCTTTTTCAAATGCCACTTAACGGTTGTTTAACAACTAGTTAATAGTTAACAGTCAGTACTAGATTGTCATGTTTTGAAAGTTCGAATACTGAATTATTGCATTTTTAAAGTTTGGAGAACAAAGTGGCACTACGCCCAAAGTAGATGCAAGCAAGATACATACAAACACAGAGGAGACAATCTTGTACTTTAATATAGAAATAGAAGAGAAAAATTTTATTGATAAGACAAAAGAAAAAGAAACATAAAAAAACAAAAAAAAAGGAAAAGAATATAAAAATTAAGAATCATATTTTTGTTCTTTTATTTTTCTAACCTATAATATAAACTTATAAAGTGGTTAATTGTAATTAGTTATAATTAAATTTTCACAAAATGGATCATGTATCAAAATATCATATTTAGTAAAAGCCGTCTCAAAATAAAGATTCTCAAAATAAAACCAATTGGTTAAGAGGGTTTTTGACAAATCTTTCTGCACGATCTTTTAGGTTTTTCAAAGTTTGGAAGACGAAAAATTTGGTCTTTTCCTACTTGATAATAAAAAATGGGAAATCGGAAAGACCTACATCCAAGAAAATTCACAGTTTCATGTTTTAAATCTTTTGTTTGACAGCTCGATAGACCACGATAGACCGGAATACTCATCTAATGGTCTTGAACTCTTGATCTTTAAAACCAAATAAAAAGATCAATACATCTTTAACCATTTGAGTTGTCGAAAATCTTCTTTAAAAAAAAAATTACCAAAAAAAGCATCTAAGATTTGGGTGAAATACTCAACAATATAATTCAATAACCCTGGCATAAGCCGACCTTTTTTCCCTTCAACTTTTGTGTATCTTATCAATTGAATTAGTTGGCCATGACCCAAGAGTTAAGAATTGAGACAACTATCCATGGAACTGTAGGTCGAAATATATGCCACCTGGCAAACAATGGCAACCAATCACATGAGGGAATGGTCTCTTTCTGTTACATGTGCTTAATGGGTCTCTTAATATTATTATTATTTTCATGTGATATTATATCAACATACACTCGTGGCCTGGCATCATTAATTAGCCTTAAGCCTTATATAGATGTATATTCTTCTGTCTACACTCTCACCAACACAAAGAATTGTTGGAAAATAATAAAGAAGGCTGGATGGAATTTATCGATAATCGCTTTCTAAACCGAGAATTTGTGGAACTGTTGTGTTGTAGAACTATGAATCTGAGAAATTGCAGAGAGAAGGATGGCTGAGTCGTGCCACTTGGTCACTCTCCTTAAAATCGCATTTTTCCCTTACGATGTAGTCAAGTGACCTGCTAACCTGCCAACCAACTTAACTCACTAGTTCTTTAGTGTTTTTTTTTGGAACATTTCGGCCTTGTTCCCCTCTTGGAATCATGAGTGTTTTAGAGAGTCAGACCTTAGATCTCTTTTAGAGGTGGGCCACATTTCACACTCACTTAGGTCAATTATTTAGCGTACACTACACACACTATTCTTAATTGATTAAGAGCCTT